ATCAGCGAAAGGAGATGATAACAAAATATTGCCATTGGTTTCTATAAATGAGAACAAGACATTTCGGAGTAAAATTTTCAATCAGGTAACAATGTGGGAATGTGGGAATGTGGGGGGATAAGCCACGCGGTATAATTTAATACAGACTGATATCAATAAGCAAACGTCTGCGACTGCCATACATATGAAAACTAATTCTTTACAATAGCGACAATAACACTAATAAGTCTTTTACATCAATAGAAAAGCATCATGACAGTGAAAGGAGATGATAACATAATATTGCCATTGGTTTCTATAAATAAGAACATTTCAATCAGGAAACAATGTGGAATGTGGAATTTACATCGATGTATGTCGGGTCAGTTGTTATCGCCTTAATTTATTACTTTTTACGGAAATTTTATCAAAATCAATGATCAACCAATCACATTTTGATCCATGCGACATTTGTCTACAGAATGATCGGGGTTTGTACAACCAATTTTTTATATATACCCATAGCGACCAAAAATTGACGAAACATCTTTTCGTCTTCTTGTCTATCCCATACTACAAAAACCATATATAACTATGTCCGTCACTCTCTTTTGTATTTTTCAAGGAGCCTCAGAAGCCTCAGAAGCCTTTCCTGTCGATATTAACAGGAGCTTGACTGTTGGTCATCTCAAGGACGCGATAAAGGCAAAGAAACCAAATGATTTTGCTGGTATCGACGCCAATAAACTGAAGCTTTGGAAGGTAGAAATCCCGTCCAATCACAAGGATCTTATCCAGGGACAACTTGTACTAGACGACGAGTTACTGGCGGTAGATGAAATCCAAGAACACTGGACCGCACCGAAAAGCAAGCATATCCATATAATCATTGGGATTCCTCTTGGTAATTAATTATCCTAGCTTTTCTTGCTTACTGCTCACGCCACACATTAAATTCCCTCACAGTGACGTTGACTAACTTGTGCTTTTCTTTCTTGCTCAACACCGCTCAAGTTATCGCAGAATCACGCGTTGAAACTGGTGAGTCGTAATAAATTTAGTCAGCGCAAGTAAAGTCGGGCTTTTTAATAACCGTTCTTGGTTTGGTTATAAGTTATACTTAACTTTTCCTTTTTTTGGTTGTGTTTATGTGCAGATGATTCGGGAAGTATAATGAAAAAGATCGATCAACTGAGAACAAAGAATGATCAACTGGAAACAAAGATTGATCAACTGGGAACAACTTTAGGTGATGTATATGAATTGTCGGCACGTTCCGAAGCGTCAAAAATCCACGGTCCACATTATACTTCGAAATTTGAGATTGTTGATCTTAACGGATTGGTGAGGCTTGCGTTACCGCGAAAAATACTTCCATCCGAAAGTCCAAAGTATTCCTCTCAGGCATTTGTTTCGTCATATCGGGTTCATAAACTTTCAAACTATATTTATGTAAGTGAATATAAAATATTATGAAATGAACTTTTTACATATGGTTTTTATTTAACGAAATCTTAACAGGTAAATCGAATGCGAGAAAAACTTGAATCATCAATAAAATTTATCCGCACACTACCAATTAGTGATAGCGATTACATCAAAAATCTTTATAATCTTGCAGAAAAAGCGGGTGTTGCTCTTAAACAGTGGCGTTCTCATGGTAGGTTTGTTAGAGATTAAGTTTGAAAAACCAAACAAAAGTAACCTATAGTCTTATATTTAATTAGAACATAATTCAACATCATCCAATAACAAATTGTATTTGGCAAACACGCCCTCATTGGGAATTATGTTAATGACGTCGTATGTATTAGACGCGGAAAAGGCAATCGAAAATAACCAGGTATTTATACATTTTTAATGTAATTGGGAATTAGGTATAGTATACTTACCCTCGTCCATTATATAATTTTTTAGGCACCTTTCAATACAGTTTTAGACGTTGATTTTCGCGGAAGAACATGTGGTTCTAATATGTCAGACATGACAGTTGAATTGGGTGAGATTAAGCTATCAAGTGGAAGTAAAGCGATAAAGAAGGCCTATCGACAGTTATTATTACGGTTGGCGGTTCTTGGCTTTGTAATTGAAGCAATGGGTGATGATTTTAAATGTAATCTAATTGGAAAAATATTTGTTCCGAGAACCTCTGAAATTGAGATCCAATCCAGTTGGAAAGATGGCATCACATTCCCCAGTTCCACTAATTGTCATGTAGATATCGTTGTAATAGGAGAAAAATACTAGAAGTACAAAAGCAAATGTTGGCGTTGGAAATGTACTTTATGTTAATGTATAGCGGAGCTAGTGTCTAAAACACATAAGTATCTTAGTAGATTGTGGCGATCTTAGCTAAGAATACTTAACAATATAGGTCAATGATATCATCGATGTCTGATGGGTCATCTTTTTTACTGCCATATGTGATTGATAATGCTTGAAGCCGGATAATTTCAAGGCCAATCACCCTATGCCATGTATTCCGGAAATCTATTAATTCTCGACACTCTGATTCCAAATCGTATAGAAGTATATATTGTTCCAGAATTGTAATTTTGGGTTTGC